ACGAATAGCCTAAATTTTACATTTGAATTAACCTTGTGATGTCTGTGATATATTTGCTTATTAATCTATTCTTTACTGGGATATTGTGTAACCCTATATTAAAAATATGTGTTATATTAATCATGTCGATTACATGACTGTTATGCCTAATAAATTTAAATGATTTATTTATTAATCGAATAAACATATTTTTTATTATGCATTTGATTATGAAAGCAATGATAAATGTCATTAGATTGACAAGAGGAAAAAGAACACTGACCAAATTAGAAACTGAAGTTAAAGGGAAAGGTCAGCCCGAAATACAAAATAAAACACTACATCTTTGGAAAAAGAATGTGAGGATGACACTTAACCATACAAATTTGGGAAAAAGATCCCTCCTTCACTCTCCAAATTAACTATTGGCTCACCCCAACCACCACCACCACACCACCCAAGACTCCTTTATCAACACCCAGCACCTCAAGGAATATGTGTTATTTGCCACCAGTGTCATTTGCCACTACTCAAGGATTTGTGTCATTTGCCACCACTCTAGGAGTTGTGTCATTTGCCACCACTGTATACCTGGCTGGGTGAGTCATCAGCCCCAACCCTAGTCCATCGGTCATCAGCCCTCGAGGCACCGGCCGATGGACCAGGAAATACCTATGATTCACACTATCACCCTCTCCTGCAACATTTTTATAAGTAAAAATTCCAACTCTAGGAGTAGGGAAATACATGACGGCAAACGCTCATTCATATCTGTGGATTTGTAATGTAACAACATAGTTAGGGCTCTTCTCACTAAGTTTTACATTTTACAGTAGCATAATTTAAGTATAGAAATTTTGATTCATTTGCTCACTAGTTATAGTTGTTTTCCATTTACTTTTGGAATGGATATATCAACAACGATTCGCGGAAAGCCACGAGGTTTTGATCAAGGATACTCATTCAACTTCAAGAGGACTAAAGCAGATGGAACAATAGTTTGGCTTTGTTCCAAAAACAAGTTGGTCAAAGTGTTAGTCTTATTTATTTAATAACTAGCAACAGTTGTGGTTAGATACAACGGCCGCTAATTAAATAATGGTTATAAATCCATACACCACTTTACTCACTAATATTATTGGTACAAATTAGGCACATAACTTTAAAATCACACACATAACATAAGGAACAAGATTTAACCACAAATGCAAACGGTAAACAACATGTAAACAAAGAAAAATCAATTAAATAGCAAAATAACAATAAGCTGTTAATATTAAAACACGTTTCACATGATTAGATTATGCATACTGGCAAACCAAATACTGCCATTAATAAAAAAAATACCCCTAGCCGCAGCAAACCTGCAGACTAAGCGAATTTCCATCTACCCCGCTGGAATTCCACTAAATTATTCCCTTAAAATTGTCAAATCTATTTCCTATTGAAAAATCGTTAATTTTAATGAGTACTTAGGTTTGCTGCTACGGGAAAAAAGGGGTTTGTTGAAATATTGATAGGTTAGTATGAAGTTAACAAAATTTCAAAATGTTATAGTAATATGCCCATAGACAAGCAAGCTACAACACTTTATTTATTATCCAAAAGAATAACATGGTAATTTTAAATTTTCACTTTTTTAGGATTATTCCGTAACTGTTAGGCATACAACAATGCTTCAATAGAGTAAATTATTTGTTTTTGAGCTCTACAAAATGGTTTGGAAAGAAATTGCAAAATGTTATGTTTTCAGGGTAAAAAATGAGAAACGATAGAAAAGATTTTTACCCCATAAACCCCTTTCCCATATTCCGATCATGCTGATTCGCGAACTCGTTCGAATAAATATAGGTTTACTACGTAAATACAGGGTGATTGGTACTCAGTGTGATAAAATTTTTTGGTGTAAGTACAAAGTAATTGAAGTGTGATGATGCATATAAAATAATCCAAGTCTAAAAATTAGCTTCCCATAAAACTATTTTATATTTTTTTTAAATAACCATGTTTTAAAACTTAATACAGTAATTTCTCAATTACCTGAATATGGATTTGAGTAGATAATGTTATTTTCGTGTTCTACATTAAATTTTGAATAAGAATAATAGAAAAAATACGGAGGATCCATTGTAAAAACTCCTTTGTAAATAGATTTAAAGATAAAAGTTAAGATGTTTGATAAAAATTTAAAAAACAATGGTCAGTTGCATTTTTCACACACTGTATACAAGAAAGTGTCGGAATATGTTAAAAACTGAGCCATTTTATAAGCTTTCCAACCATATGCTACACTATTGAGGTATAGATATTTATTTTGTTTTAGTGGTTTGAATGCCAGAAAACAGAAAACTTTTTACTGTTTTACTGTTCAAGTTGAAACAAAAGTACAACTTTTGCTTAATACATGCCGACTTTCTATGTTTTAAATGTTTAAGACACCATGCTTTGTAGTCTTCAAACCACTAAAGCGTACATAAGCAGACAGAAAGCTCAATGGTGTAGCATATGGTTAAATGCTTATAAAATGGCTCAGTTTTTAACATATTCCGACACTTTCTTGTATACAGGGTGTTAACAAATGCAATTGACCAACGTTTTTTTTAATTGTTATCAAACATCTTAATTTTTATCTTTGAATCTATTTACAATGGAGTTTTTACAACTGATCCCCGTCATTTTCCATTATTCTCATTCAAAATTTAATGTAGAACACGAAAATGACATTATCTACTCAAATCCATTTACAGGCAATTGAGAAATAGCTGTATTAAGTTTAAAAACATAGTTATAAAAAAAAAACATAAAATAATTCTTTGGGAAGCTAATTTTTAGACTTGGAACATTTTATATGCATCATCACACTGCATTTAGTTTGTACTCACACAAAAAAAATTGTCACACTGAGTACCAATCACCTTGTATAGGGTGAACAACTTAACTGTACCACCATTGCTATCTCAGACCCGCTATTAGATTTAGAGAAAACATTAAATAGGAACTTCAACTATTTTCTTGTGACATACGAAAATATGAATTCAAATATTTTTTAACAAAACTATTTTCCAATATTCAGGTTAACTTTAAAACTTCTTATTTGACAGCATGTATTTTACAATGTTTTTAGCATATAAATGCAATTTAAAACGTTTTTAGTAGTTGCATTTCTTTTATAAAGCTACTTAGTTAGGAGTTACATTTGGAAAGGAGTGGCTTTTTGTGAACATTTTGCATGTTGTGGCTCATACAGGAATAAGATCATAATATAAAATACAGTACTGTACAGGGGGATTCATATTAAATTTGAACTCTAATCGCAATTTTTGTGGCTTTTTGTAGGAACTTAAAGGAATCATTTTAAAATATTTTATGATCTTTTTAGAATGTAGATGCAATTTTAAGACATTTATAATTTATTCTTTGCATTTTTTCTTCAAACTTGCTCGTTTAGGAGCTATATCATGCAGAATGTACCAAGAAGCTACTTTTCCCAATATGTTACACGCTGTATCTCCTTTAAGTAGCTTTATAGAACAAATTAAACTAATACAAACATTTTAAAAATTACAGTCTAAAATCGACATAAAATACAAGGTGTCTCATGAGAAATTCTTTAGTTAACTGCCATATTGAAAATATCAGACTTTAAAGGAAGAGAAAGGTATTCATATTTTTGTATGTCATAAGATAATAGTGTAAATTAATGTAAATTGTATAACTCAATTTCCTTAAACAAGATTCTTGATTTAAGAAAATAAATTAGTTGAGTTGGTTGCAACCAAATTTTTATCTACTCTTCAAATATTTCACCTTCCTTGGTTGGTCTTTTTTTCCTTGGTTTGATTTTCAGAAAGTGTAACAGTCCTCAAGAAAGCTCTACTATCATGAGGAAATCAAAGATTTATTGACAAGTATGGGGCATGTTGCTGCTGGATCAAGTAAAAAAATCCAAAACATTGATGGGGCTGAAAATGATCAAGAAGTTGATGACTTGTTGGCAATTTTTTCATTGAAACTATGGCTGAAATGAATTCCATAGATCAACAAATAGCCAATGAAGAATATGAAAAGAAAATGGTAAGTTTTAGCGAATTTCCCTATAGGGAAGTAGCTATTACCGTAGGTGGCACGGTAAGACTTAGACCCGGGACCGATTTACTTTTTCATTTTGATGTCCCCAGAGGCCAAAAACACCATTCGTTCAAATTTATATGTATAATATATACGTCCGTGAACGCGATAACTTGAGTAATTTTTGTCCGATATTGATGAAATTTGGTTTAAAGGTGTAAAGCGGTACAAACTTGAATGAGTTCGCGAACCAGCATGATCGGACCATGGTAACGGGGCTTTACGGGGGGTTTTATGGGGTAAAAATTGGGTTTTCCCACTTTTCACCCTCAAAACACAAAATTTCCCAATTTCTCTTTACACCTTTTTAAAGAGCTTAAAAAAACAAATAATTTAGTATATAAAAGTATTTTTGTTCGATTATTGGTAACGGAAAAAATTTAAAAAATTGTAAATTTTAAATTCCCATGTTATTATTATGGAGAATATTGTCAAATGTTGCAATTTGCTTGTTTATAGATATTTGATCAAACTTGGCAAATTTATTAATTTTATACTAAGCTATCAATATCTTACTAAAAACCCACATTATTAGTTTCCTTGTAGCAGCAAACCTAGGTACTCGTTACACCTAATGTTATTTCAATATATTTAATTTAAAATCAATTCAGACAAATAGAAATTCGCTTAGTCGGCAGGTTTGCTGCGCGCGAGGGTATTTATTATAACATGCGCTATATTGTTTCGAATCTTATTTATCAACTAATAATTTAAGTAGAAGGAAATTTAGCGAGGCGTGACTGTTTTTTCATAAAATGATATAACCAATAGTCATATTTTTTTCAGTTTCATTCCACAAAAGCTATGCTTTAAGGACCAGAGAATTTACACCATAATGTTTTTGTTAAAAAATATGTCCGTATTAATTTACTACAGCATTTGCTTCCCAAACTATGGGTCGCGACCTACTGCTAAGACCCAGGGACAGACCATACATCAAAAAATCTTTATCAGGACTCGTAATCGGCCAATACTGGAACGGTCTGCTGAACATCAGAATAGTAGTCCCACCGAGCAGGTGAGAAGGACAGGGCTATGCATTAAAATATTTTCAGTATATTCACTTTTATATCAGTATATTCACGATTGACTTGTATTAGCTTTTAATTAGGAATATAAAATACCAAGGGTTTGGTAATTTCATAAATAATTTTAATAATAAGTAAATGATTTTGGGACTTTGGATTAATAATACACCCAGTAAATTGTTCTCTAAGCACACAATTTCCAAAATGAAAGAGGTGCTTCTTGCAACAGCGAAGTTGTGCGCACCTCGGATGTTATGAGAACTTTTGTAAATACAACCATTTCCCAGAAAGGTATTTTTCTCAAAATAAATGTTTAGGTAGATGTATATTTATGAATATTGTATCTACCCAGAATAGTTATTGAGGCTTTGTCTAAAATTAAAGTATGTTTTGGCTGTCGCGGCAGTGGGCAATGCTAATGGTCTTGGTGTTAGAGTTTTCCTACGCTTCAAGATTCAAATTCATCAGTATGCAAACAGCCGTAGTAGCCTCCACTTCGTACGTTTTCATATTTCGTATGTTCGTCGTCATGTCACAAGCATTTTTGCCATAGTTTTAAATGATATATTGGAAAGAGTAGATAATACCAGAAACAACCTTCAAAAAGAGGGTTTGGGCATTCTTTCTGCTGGTAAAAAATTACAATTCGTTAAAACTTCCTTAAAGAGCAAAAGAGACTCACTTGAAGAGCACGAAAAGAACCTATTAGCTCTTTGTAATATGGACATTGTCAAATATCAACTCAATAGAGCACGGAGGCGATTTGCGGATGAAAATGAGGACTCAGAAGACGAAGCAGTAACACATTTAAGAAATAAATTTAGAACTCGAAAACCTTAAATATTTCAAAGAATATTATGCTTACAATAACAATAATGATTGAAAAGTTCTTTCCTGATCTTGGAAATTGTCATAAGAATCTTTTTAACTATTCCCATTACAGGATGTTCTAGAGAAAGATGAATTCCCGCTCTAAACAGAATAATAAGTGAAATGAGATCTTTTATGGGAGAGGGAAAACTGAACAGCCTAATTGTGTTATACACTGCATGTGACGTGACCTCCAAAGTGGACTTTAACAGTGTTATTGACAAATTTACTCCAACGAGAACGCAGGAAAAATGCAATGTTTAATGAAGATTATGCCTAGAAAGAACACAGATATCGTGATCAATGGTCAAGACGATGTACCAAATATAATATGAGAACATCGTGTAACTATTTATAAATAAATATATAAATATTTTATGATTATAATGACAAACAACTTTGTGGTGAGTGGGTGATCCGTGATGTTTTTAACACTTGGCAAAACGAAGAAAGTCTTCCTGAAGAAGAAAAACTTGCATTAAATGAAATTAATTCTTCACAGTACCTGCAAATATTGCCACGATTTTTACTTACAAAGCAAAAAGTAACTGTGATTTATACTTGATTAGTAACTGCAATCGAATGTGATGTTACTGCTACGAACATTGGATCATCATTGAGGCCACCTGTTTTTAGCATTGGATGGAAAAAATGACTTAACGAGATTGGATGAGTATTAAACAAACTTCTTAAAAGTGTCATGAGCTTTCACGTAATTTATGTTTTTCGACAATGATAATGTACCCAAAAATAGTGTTAGTGATCTTAAAATATTATACAATTTTTGCTATTTTTGTAAGTCATATAAAATTATAAAAATATTTGATTTTATGGTGTCTTCAGCAATACCAGTAAGAGTGCATTTGTTTAAGACTGTTAAAAATTAAACATTTAAATATCGCAACACTATGCACAGCTAAATAATTCTCATTTGATCCATGTTAGAAAAGTAAAATTGAAAGAACTTGTTCTCAATAAAATATTTGAACCGAGAGGGCAGCTGTCCAAATGAGAAAGACATGTATTTCAGAATCTGACATCTCTTTTACTTCAGGGAATCTTTCTTCTTAGTGTTTTTATGTTTTATTTTATGCCCATTATATCTCAAACTGGACTACTATTTCTATTAATGAACGGCTTTTAAGCAACCAGTCAATAATGTCTTTGCATATCATTTAAAACCATTAAGTATCTACGATTATATTGAAAAACTGTTACTTGTAATTGAATTAAGATGAATTTGTTGTTCTAACGGGGGTCTGAATAACCTTAACATACATACTAAATTGCATTATAATCGAAAAAAATGCAAATTTACAAATGTTGATGTAAAAAAAAATAAACAATGGCGAATATCTGGTTAACGGAGCAATTTTGGGAAAAATTTGATTCTTGATTTTCTCTTTATAAAACCCGTAGAACCATTTCCCAGAGTTTAGCTGTTTACTTACGGGACACCCTGTATGCATATATACAGGGTGGAACGAAGTTAGTGTTAAAAAATGTTATCTGTTAAACTACTAAGTATTGGTGACAAAATGGCACCAATTTAAGTTTCCATACCCTCACAGGTAGGGAATAACGGACAATTTAAGATTTTTTCAAAATATTTGTATTTGCTTACATAAATTGGCCATAAGTGCACTAAATATTGTTTTTATTCCAAATTCATTGTCATTTTGAGAATCCTTGTTCAATTTCCAATATTAATAGAACAAATTCGTTGAGATGAAACATCTGCATAAGCCCTTATTTGGCAATGGAAGTTTGAATTTGTGATTTTTTAGAAAAAAGTAATAACCTTTTCCAAAGTTTTTCTATACTACACTGGACTCTAGAGAGTGTCAAATATTACTAAAAACTTCGGCAGTTAATAACCTTTAAAATGACGTATAAACATCTACTGTTCGTTTGATTTGTCGTTCTCAAATTTAAGAGTTTCTTTTGAAAAACACGGAATGGCCAAAATCGCCTCCCTTTAAAATAACATGTATTTGCTTAAATAATATGGCAATAGCTACAATAACAATTATATTTGAATAGGGTTTATTGTAATTTTTAGAATCCTTGTGAGATTTATTATAAGAATATTAAAGATCTATTAGGATTGACATCCATATAAACGTAGGTTTTGTGAAAACATGTTTAACTTTTATTTAATTTAATTTTTTGAATACAATGAATATTGTTTAAACCCACACATGGCACATTTAACTTAAGATTATTTTCTAAAGATAAGCAAATACTTCCAATGAAGTAACCTCTAAAATTATGTAGATACTACAATTTACAATGTTGTCAATTTAATTACCGAAAACCCAAAATTAACCTAAGTAAATTATAGCAATTAGATTGTAGTGCTTAGACACATGCTAATGAAAATCAGCCAAGTGATATATTTCTTTACTAAAATAATTGTTAAAACCTCAGAAATACGTAGTTTAACTTATTTACACAAAAAATAAAAGTTAATTCTAAAACACACAGTATTCGAAACTTAAATAACTGTTCCTTACTTACTTAACGTTTTAATAGTTGCCTTATATTTGATACCAACTACTTGTGTTTTTTTTTCAAAATCTTCTTTATTTTCCCTGATATACAGCCAATTTTCTTTGCAAGTGGCACCAACAGTAACATTAAACTACAACGTTCCTCTGACTAGAACATCTGCATTCATTATCCAGTTTTAAATTTCCTTATTATCTTCCGCTAAAGATAAGGAGTCCAAGTACTCCACTTAGCCACACAAAACAAGTCCAGTGGAATAGAGGTCTGGCGACCTGGCATGCCAGCAAATCACACCATAAGACCCATCTTTATCATTGTTATCATTGTTCAAGTTGTGTATTTTGCATTAATTCAATCTCGCACATCGGTTGAGTGTACCATAGAACTAACACCGTAAACGATATTTAAGTTATGCCATTTAAAAAGAAAAAAACCCTAAATGAAGATACATCACAAAACCTAGGTTCATGAGGTTTTAATCCGAACAATTCCTCAATATATTAGGGATTTTACAAGGATTCTGAAAATTGCAATATTACCCATTTAAACATGATTTTTAAAGCAGCTGCTGCCATATCATTGAATCCAATACATATTTTTTGCAGGAAATTAAACATTAGCCATTCCGTGTTTTTAAAGAAAACTCTTAAATTTGAGAACGACAAATCAAACGAACAGTAGATGTTTATACATCATTTTAAAGGTTATTAACTGCCGAAGTTTTTAGTAATAATGGACACTCTCTAGAGTCCAGTGTAGTATAGAAAAACTTTGGAAAAGGTTATTATTTTTTTCTAAAAAATCACAAATTCAAACTTCCATTGCCAAATAAGGGCTTATACAGAAGTTTCATCTCAACGAATTTGTACTATTAATATTGGAAATTTAACAAGGATTCTAAAAATGACAATGAATTTGGAATAAAAACAATGTTTAGTGCACTTATAGCCATTTTATGTAAGCAAATACAAATATTTTGAAAAAATCTTAAATTGTCCGTTATTCCCTACCTGTGAGGGTATGGAAACTTAAATTGGTGCCATTTTGTCACCAATACTTAGTAGTTTAACAGATAACAATTTTTAACACTAACTTCGTTCCACCCTGTATATCCGTTAACTCAATTGCTCAATATTTGTTTGTTTTTCACTAAATTTGTAATGAACGTGTAGGGATCTATCCTAATTTTCAATAATTAAAAATGCCTAATATTAAAACGCTAATAGCTCTGGCGGAGGTGATATTTTGAGAGCTGATAAGCAGGGTTAACTATATCATAATACAGTATACTTGAATTTTTATGTCAACCTTGATATGCATTATACAATATTAAATTACTGAAAAACTCTTTGCAAGAATGTGCACAATATTTTTTACCCTCAAAGTAGTTTAAACAAACTGACTCAGCCTTACATAGGTTGATTTCAAATTTAAAAGTTGAAATTATACATGGACTTGTGCTGATGAACCTAATAAACAAAGAATAAGTTCTGGATTGTTATTCTTATATACTGTGAAACAAGGATATGTACGAGTATTATGAGCTAGCTATATCAATCGAAATAATCTGAAAGGAGAGATAAGAAGTTTGAATACTGCAAGGGGTTCC